GGAATGTGGGGGGTGGGGGGAGGGGTCACCAGGTGGCCAGGGAGGCTCTTCCTGAAAATGACACCTGAGAAGCAGTGAACTGATGGCATGAGCCATGTCCTGGGGAAGACACAGCATGTGCAAAGACCCTGAGGTAGGACTATGCCTGGTGCGTTGGAGGCAAGCGTGGCTGGTGCTCAGTGAGTGAGGGGGTTGGAAGGCAATGGGAGAGGAGGTCACAGGGGCCCGGTCACACGGGGACACCAGGCACGGGTCTGCTTCAGGCGCTCACACGATCCTCTAGAAGAAGAAGCTGGGGAGGGGGGTTGGCCAACAGAGATCCCCGCACAATTCCCATTGAGATGTGCCGTGCTGTGGTTCATCAATGCCCGCAACAACCTGAGGGCATATGGATCCAGGAGTTCATTTTATTTATTTTTTTATTTTTTTTAATTTTCAACGTTTTTTATTTATTTTTGGGACAGAGAGAGACAGAGCATGAATGGGGGAGGGGCACAGAGAGAGGGAGACACAGAATCGGAAACAGGCTCCAGGCTCTGAGCCATCAGCCCAGAGCCCGACACGGGGCTCGAACCCACGGACCGCGAGATCGTGACCTGGCTGAAGTCGGACGCTTAACCGACTGCGCCACCCAGGCGCCCCTCCAGGAGTTCATTTTAAAGATGAGGAAACTTAGTCCCAAGGTCCCCCAGCTGATCAGGGTCACAGCCCTCTCCTCCAGCCCAACCCCTCACCCACCTCTGTTCTAGGAGCTGCCTGAGTTCGAAGGGGAGGTCCTCGCCGTGGGTAGCCCGGCCCTGACCATCGAGGGTATCTATGAAGACGTTGTCCGGGGGGTCCTGCTGCAGAAGATTGATGGAGGTGAGCCCCGTTCCTCTATGGCTCAAGGAAGCCTGGTGCCCCCTGGCTGTATATACCAAGCTCTCCCGGGTTCCCCATCACCTCTTACTTCCTGTGAACACTAACCTTTGACTGACTGTTAGGACTGGGACAGATGGGGACTAGGGGGAGCGAGTCTTAGAAGGGCAGTGATGGAGGTTCCCTAAAGGAGGGGGCATTGGGGCAAGGCTGTAAGGGGTGTGTAGGAGTTCTCAGGCTGAAGGCAAGGAGGCAAAATTCAGAAACTGGGGATAGAAGACACATTGACCTTTATTCATTCAGCAACCATTACCTGTTTTCTTGTTTTTGTTTGTTTTTTGTTCTTTTCTGGGCGGGCATTGAAGCCCCGAGAGTCCTTGGATCTTCTGGGCTGGGAAGTGGTTCCAGAACCATCTCTTCTCCTTCTTGCTTCTTCAGTTTGCTCGTGACCCACTGCCTGTGACTGAAGAGATGTGTGCTCGGATGAGCCATGTGACTTTCAGGGAATGTCATGGCATCCGCGTGGCTGATACAGAGGATATGAAGGGGAACGGAAGGGGAGGAGGCAGGAGGCTGCTGGGGCAGGTGTGCAGGGCCTTGAATAACAGGCAGAGGAGGTTAGGCTTTATTGGGCAGGCAATGGGGAGCCATGGAGGGTGTGTGAGCAGAGGGCAACACCGGCCACACCGGAAGCCAGGGGAGGAGGTTGAGGGCACAGTCCTAGAGGCAAAGGATGGACTGAAGGTGCAGCACACAAGGGGATAGAGCCCAGGCGTGAAGCTGAGGTGGGAGCCTGAGGTTGTTGGGCGTCATTGAGGGCACAAGAGGGGCCACGACACTGGGAATGCTGTTTACAGGGAAGAGTGGCGTCCTGGAGCGCCTGTATCTGAAGGAGCAAACAGGAAGTAGGGACACAGAAGGAGCACTTGGAGAGGTGGGGGGGGGGGGGGGGGGGGGGACCTGAAGACAGTAGGGTTCTAGGAGCCAGGAAGTAAGGGTGACAAAAAGAACTAAGTTCCCTTAGAAAAGGGGCATTTTAAATGGAAGAAGGCTATTCTCTAATTGGTAAAAAAAAAAAAAAAAAAAAATCCAGAAACAGGTAACCTCAGAGAGTCTCTATTCCTAGAGGGGTCCTTCGTGGTGTTTCATCCTTAATTGACTTGTAATGTCTGCTTGGAGTGTTGTGTTGGCAGGTAGGGTTGGTAGGGGGCTCAGTGAAGATGTGGGGATCGACTAGCAATGTCTGCCATGGCCACAGGTATGGAGAGAGGGTTATTTGAGCCACTTGTTTTGGGTTCCTGGTTGAGACATTTCCTGCCATCCTTTGCCCTCTTGTGGCCTCTCTGAGAGAACGCATGGAATCCCCAGATGGGTCCAAATGTTTATCTCTTGCTTTAGAACTGAAAAAGGCCCTTGGTGGCAGCGACATGTCCTGCGCTCTGGATGGCTGCTTGGAGGCCCCATGGGACCCGACAGGAGCAGGTGAGGATCTCACAAGCTCTTGGGCCATCCAGTGAATTGTTGGGGGGATGGTTCTTAAGTGTGGATTCCTGGATGGAACGGCGTATACCTTATCTCCTGACCCAGCCAGGTTGGCCAAGCTCACGGTAAACAAGGGCAGTGGGGAGCCACAGTGTTTGTCTGAGTCAGAGGTACCCTCTGACACGCACATGAATTTGTGTCCTATCGCATATTGCCAGGCCTCTGTGGAGCCTCTCCCAGTAGCTACCGGTTCCCAACACTGCAAGGGGAGCTCATGGCGATGGGAGCCTTGGGCTCACCACAAGCCAGGGCTGCTCTGGGAGAGGGGTACAGGGAGCCGTGCTCAGCTCCGGGGGAGCCTGACCTCCTACCGCAGGATCCTACAGCGAGCGCTTTGTTGGAGCGGTCAATGCATGTAGGACTGAGGTTGACACTGCTGGGAGGTGCCGGGGTCCTCGGCTCCAGCTGTGAGATGGAAATGTGTCATGGGGACCTCCCTGAAATGGGGCAGAAAACAACCGATCCAACCAGAAGCAGGCCAGGAGGCAGGACGGCTATAATCTGGATGTTCAGCACCCGGGGTAGGGGCAGGGATTCTGGAAGAGCTAACAGCTCAACCCCCTTGAGTATTACTGTTACGAGAGCCTTATGAGCCCACCCAACTAAGCAGTTCCCACATTCTTCATCCACAGAAACTCTGAGATCATGTGTGTTGTTTTTGGCTGCTCACTTTTGGGGGGGGGTCATTTGTTACACAGCAGCAGCTCACAAATACACCACTGATCTGGGCTAGCATCCCATAGTTGGTCACTGTAGATAAACTGAAGAATATTCACACTTGCTGGCGTAAATGGAGATTCAACAGTCTTTAGAAAGACTCCTGGGTGTCAAAATATTTGGGGATGTGCAATTGAGGATGAGGTCTTGTTGAACGGGCCCCTTAATGTTTTTAACCGGAATCTAAACAGTGATGGTTATTTTGCTTCTAGTCTTTTGAGCTGTTATTGCTTCAGGAAATGACCTTGAACAGACTTTCCAAGCAAGTGCAGGTCTCCGGGTAAATCCCCCAATACGAAATCTCAGGGTTTAGAGCATTTGTGTTTGTTACTTCAACAGCAGTGTCCAGAGCATTCTCCACCAAGGTGGTCCCACCTGGTGCCCCTCACCTGTATGCAGGTGGCCCATTTCCCCATCGGCTGCACAGGCTATCCGCTGACTCGGGGTTTCTCAGATCTTCTGAGTGAATAATGGTGTCTGGTCGTCATCTTAATGAGCATGTCTAATTGGAGAGGAGATTGAGCATCTTTTCATGTTTATGAGCTGTTTTTAGCTTCTTTTTGGTGAAACTTTGCTCCTCTCCTTGGCCCATTTACCTTCTGGGTGCTTATAATTTCTGCTCAGTTTCTTTTGCTAGGCTTACATTTACTGAGCATTTATTATGTGTCAGGCATTTGATGTATTTTGTCTTCCTTATGACGCTTTCTATTTTACAGGTGAGGAAACTGAGGCTCAGAGAGGGACTTGTCCCAGGCAACCAGGCTCTGGTGCCGAGGTCCAGCCGCTCTGCTCACGGCCTCCTCCAGGAACATCCACAGCAGCGTCTCGACCGCATCTCTCTTCGTTCCCATCGGACAAATAAGTCAAAGCATCCACACCATTTCAAGGCTTTTATTTTTCTTTTATTATTAAAAAAATTTTTTTTAAATGCTTATTCATTTTTGAGAGAGAGACAGAGACAGAGTGTGAGCAGGGGAGGGGCAGAGACAGAGGGAGACGTAGACTCTGAAGCAGGTTCCAGGCTCCGAGCTGTCAGCCCAGAGCGCAACACGGGGCTCGAACTCATGAACTGTGAGATCACGACCTGAGCAGAAGTCTGACGCTTAACCGACTGAGCCACCCAGGTGCCCCTCTGAGGCTTTTATAACCCTCATATCTCTACCTCATTCCTCTCCAGAAACGCTGGGTTTCTTTACCCTCCCACCAACAGCATTTGTGCACGTTCTCTGTATCCTTTCCAAACACTAGGGATGTCCATAAGAGAAAAAAAAGTCAGTTGGAGGGACGCACACATTTCATTGTTTCATTTTGAATTTCTTTAATGATTGAATTGAACCTAAAAATAGGCTTATTGCCATTTTTGTTTGTGCTTTTTTTTTTATTTTTTAAAGTGTATTGCCAGTTCATGGCTTTGCCTACTTTTCTCTTCAGTAGATTTTCTCTTTTTCTTATTGATCCCTAAAAACTCTTTGTATATTGAAGATATTAATGCTTTGCTATACGGTACAGGTTATTATTTATTTATTTATTTATTTGTTTGTTTGTTTGTTTGTTTATTTAATTCGCAGCATGCTATAGACCTTTCGGATTTATTTGCTCCAAATCTTAACTTGGTATCTAGTTTCTCAGCTGAGAGTGAAGCACTGATTGACTTCCCTCTGCCTGCCAGAGAAGCCATCTGTGTCCTGGCAGTTGACAGCTTCATTGTATCACAAGCCTTACAGCTGCTTCCGGAGCAGGTTCCGGAGGGATTTCCCCAGGGTCCTTCTGGGTTCAGCTTTCAGAGGGGGAGATGCAGACTCCCCGTGGAGATGGTTCCGCCTCTTTCCGCCCTGGCGTTTTCAGCCTCCCCAAAGAGAGTTTCTTCACTTTTCCTGACTTTACCCTCCAGCTCCAACTTCTGAGATAACATTTGTGCTTCTGCAGCCTTGTACAGCTGTTGTAGTTTTTAAACCCAGGATGTGATGTTAATCCTGCAAAACTGGAGAAACAAGAATTTGCCATCCAGTCCTCCTGGAGAAAATCGCTATTTGTCTTTGGTCCGAAAACCTTCTAGTCTTTTCTCAGTTTATCAGGGTATGGGATACATCTTGTCACTCTGTTTTTCTAACTTAGTATGAATGCTCTGGCCAGGTTCATAGAGTGCAGAATTGTTTTTGCCATTTTATTACAGAAAGTCTCTAACATACCCCTAAAGCAGAGCCCCAAGTGTGCCCCTACTCGGATTCAGCAGCAGTGACCAGTGTGGCCAGACCCCCTTCCTCCACTCCCTTCCTCACTCCCTTAGTCAATCATGTAACCAGTAAATTTTAGGTTGCGCTTCCAAAACATTCAGCTAAAAACTGAACTTGCACAAATGATTATTGTAGAAAAAACTGGAGAACAGAAGAAAGGAGAGAAATGAATTTGGAAGAAGGGGATGGACAAGGAGAAGGGCATGGGGAGGAGGAAGGGCAAATATCACGTGACTCGGTTAGCGCGCGCCGGAGCCGTGAGGCTTTTTGGGTCAAGCCCACCGCCCTGTCTTACTTAAATTCAAGCCCTACAGTCCCCCTGAGCACAAGGACACACTACAGTGCCCCGAATTTCACTTAACAATATTCAATCTCCTCCTTCCGACCATACTAATAAATGTACACCTGAGCATCCTTCTTAAAACTTAGTTTTTAAGAATGGCCCAGAAACAAGCAATCGTAAAGTACATTGATAAGAGTCCTGGGAAACAATTCCCTGATAGCATTTCTCTGGAAACTCCCACCCTGCCCCCAGATCGCGTGCTCAGCATTTTCAAGTATCTGGCTCCAGCAGCCGCCAGCCTTGAGGCGTCGGGAAGACCCTATAGTACAGATGGACAAACTGAGGCTCACACTGGGAGCCCACGGTGGGGCTGAATTTGAAGCCAGGTCTGCAGGACGCCAGGGACCACGCGCGCTTCACACCCAACAGCCCTAGACGACGTCCCCGTGAA